GTCGGTTGTTTCACATAAACAGAATTAAACGGCCTCCTGTTCACACAATGCGCCGTCCCAACAATCACAACTTTAGTTTATGAATTAGGTAAACATATTGAGACAAGTATTACCAACCAGCAAAAGGAAAATAATAATAAAGAGAAGGGTTTGGCAGATGAATACTAACAGTTTTCAATCCTTTAATATCTTTTTAGGTCTTTGTTGACAAAACTAAATCCAGCTTTTTAAGACCTGCAAATACCGTTTTCAATGAAATTTTCAACTGAAAACTGGAAACGCCCAGAAACTGGAACCCTCTGCAAAAAAACGCATAAGCCTTTAAAGAGTTAATAATTAGGCAAAGGTTATAATTATTGTCCATCTGTATAAATGTATTCAAATACAAATACCAAAGAAACACACAGTAAGACACAGATTAGACTGCGCGTATTGAATTTTGTTTCATATAATTAAAGGAGCTCAGGAGAAATTAGGAACGAGGTTAAAAAGAGTGTCATTTCGCAATGTTAAGCAATCCTGTAAAAACAACCGAAACACTTGTTCCTTGGCCTGTGCCCTTATATTCCTCCAAATCTGCTACTAAGCTGTTGTTGCACAGTCACGCTAACAAAGAGAGCAAAGAACACGATCCGCTTGGAGCGAGGTAACGAGCAACGCCGGCATCAGCTGGCCTACTAAAGTTCCTCGGAAATGGATCTCAGAGCCGGCTGTCGAAAGAGGAAGGGCCCAAGAAAAATACTGCAGCGTCCCGGAGACAGCAACATATGGAGATGCTGGTCACGCTGGCAGGTTCAATAAAACAGGAGAAAACAATAAAGACTGCCAACCAGCTTCCTAGGTTTCCACACAAATTGGCTTAGCAACCAATGAATCATGGCTGGCTGTGTTTTATGGAAAGTATCCACACAGACCCAACTTATCTCTGACAGCTCTGATGAAAATGCCCATTGTGTATGAGCTAACAATGTACTGTAAATGCCAACTTGACCGCTTGATCCATCTCAAGTGTGTTTATGTAAAGCCCACTCTCAGGGTATTAGGAAAATCACAGAGGGGCACTAATGAAATTCTTTCTAGATTGTAACGACTCCTGCCACCGTCAAGCCTCCTTTGAAGGGCTTAAGAAGTCAACAGTCTTCTTAAATGTCAGAGTCTTTGTAGGGCTTAAAGAAGGGCACAGTAGCCTCAGGGAGGGATGGTGCTATGTGGGGTGGGTGGTGTGAAGGCCTAATCATCACCCCTGGGTGGGAGCGCAGGGAGAAAGAAAGTGATAGAGACAAAGTGATGCATTCCTTCCGAGCCAGGACAGCATTTAGAGGATGAGAGGAGACGAGGCACTGCTGGAGATTAGCACTGGAAAAAAAAAACACACAAACACAACCGTGGAGCTGCAACGACGCACAAGCACGTCTACACGCACGCTTTTAAAGACGACCACCGTGCAGCCCAGGTCGGTTTAGAGGAGATCGGACTCCGCTGCAGAGTGAGTTCACAGTGAGTCTCAATGATCTGCTCGGCATCTGCTATCAAGTCGTTAGGATGCGATCTGACGTGAACCGATTATACATCCTCCAATTTAAAACACACATAAGTTTTCTTTTGTTTGTCCCCTACCCTCCGATATGACCCACATCACAGCAGCAGGACGTATGTTCAACTATGGTGCTGAAATAAATAACTCAACCTTTGACAATCCTACAGTAAGGCTTTGGTGAGGTTCAGATACAAAAACAGCTTGTTTAGGAGTAGAGAAAAACCATGGTTTACGTTAAACTAGGTACTTGTCATTACCATTACTGGTAAATAAACAGATGGTTATGGGATTGTTGAGAAACAGGTGCAGTCTCTCATGGTCAGCAGCTATTTTATCTTTAGTCATTAATCGTTTGCAGGTACTGGTCGAAACCACATCTTGCTGGATGCTTGGCAAAAGTCGTGGCAGGAACAACACTTCATTATAGTAATGCTGTGCTGTTTTGCTTGAGCCTCCTGCATTAACACCCCTGCTGCGTTAGAGGCGTGGCTTCTTTCTGATGAATGAGAGAGCTGCATTTTTTCGAGGCTGAAGCAAAATTGGATGTGGCTGCGGCTGACTGTGACTTTGAATGTGTGCTTGAGCTTTTATTTTTTTGTACAGATAAATCCAGTTGCTGTTTATGTATTCCTCTTTCTGGTGACTTTGTCTATATTGCATAGAAAAAAATGAAATGAACGTAGTTTTGCTGACGTTGAAGTTATGACTGGTTGGATTGTTTAATGTCGGTTATTGTCCGCTCTGATTAAAGGTGGTATTGATATTTAGAAAAAACATTATTGATAACAGTTTTGATCAGTGTATATAGAATGAATGAAAGTTTTTGACCAATCTATGCAAAATGAACATTAAAGTGGTGTGTAGTAACGTAACAGAATGTGTTTTCAGGCGTTTCAATAACAGTCAATGAACTTGTCATTCTGGTACAGTAATAATTTAATGTAAAAATCTGAAATATAAATTGCTATAATACTTAAGCTGATCACTACTGTTAGTTAAAACAGAATCAAGGTTTACTTTCACCTGGGCATCGATTAAAACTAGACTAAATTTAGCTGAAAAGTTTTTACACACAGTTTACAAAAGTTAATATTTAAACAGCAATAAGACGAGCGTATCAGAATATGCTCATTTCACTGTGCTTTTTTTGGAACGTCCTAGAGATATGTTTTAGCAAAAGCTGTACAAACACAAATAACAGTGACCTGTTCTATGTAGGCTGTGCAACAGTGTGAGCTTCATGTCGACCTCAGTCTGTCAGAACACGCTGTCCTCTAAACTGCTAACGTACACGTTACAGCCCAAAGTGTATGGACACATGCTTTGTGTCTGGATATTTTTTCAAGACTTGGACGAAGCCTTTCAGTTTCAGTTACAGGAAATCTTTATTAGCTTTGACTTCAATCCTTCCATCCAACACCATTTTGTAATGAACTGGAGCACCGACTGTGAGTCATCGAACGCTGGTATTGAACTGATGTTGGACGAATGCTCCCGTGTATGAATGGGAACGAGTCGCTGCCGCCCAGTTCCAAAAACTGTGAGACGATTGTAATGTTCAAAGGTCATTTCATATCTCCTCCCTTTCCTTTACCTTCTTTGGGTCCAAACATGTCCTCCCTGTTTCTTCTTTCATCCCCATGCTGGTATACTTCTACTTCTGGCTGCTCTCCTCTCCTAAGTCTAAAATCCTTCACCTCCTTTTTCTCGCCACCTCACTTTATCAACACTTTCCTCAACTTTCTCCTTCTCTCTACCTGAGTATGACTCACCACCTTACCTCCTTCCCCTCAACCATATCCTTGTGTACCTCACCTCTACTCTCGTTTTTCCATCCTGTCACACATCTCCTTCCTCCAACCCGTCATAAACCACTTCTAGTTCCACTCACAGTCCAGAAGGTCCCGTCCGAAACACAAGATCAGCTCCCTACATGCTCTCCCAAAGCCGCTTGGCTTCTCAGGTCCATTGAAATCCTCCAGACTCCTTATTTTCTGCTATTTTTAGCATCACAATAAAGCTTAACAAAAAAGAAACACTTCCCAATATTTCCAGACATTTCACATTAAATGTGCTTCTAGGGAGGGGAAACCGTTCCACCAACACAGGCCTGCCAAAGCAAATGTATTCCAAAGGAAACAATAGCATGAAAACACTGATGTTTTTTTTTTTTTTTCATGACCTGATTTCTGAACAAATGCTAAAATAAATCTTTTTTCTTCACGTTTTTTTAAGGAGGTCTGTGACATTTGAAATAAAGAGCGGTTTTGTTGGTTTGCAGAGGAAAGTAATATCTTCCAGAAATATTGCAGGGCCTGGAAACAGATGCCTGGAGGCAGCAGGGGGATGAACTGGGCTTGTCTGGAAAGAGCCCAGATGTCCTTACGTCAAGTCAGCACTCTGTTAGCAGCTGGTGTTCGGCACTGTCAAAAAAACACTGACTACGAAGTTATAGACCAGACATCGGCTAACCTTACAATGCTTCTAATGCTAATGTCGCTTTTAGGTTCTAGATATTAGCCAGCACTCCTATTAAATTTTACCATTATCTCTGTTAGTCAGTGACCTTTCATGTCCCTTCAGACCAAATTAATGTAAAACCAGATGTGCGTACCATAATGGCTAGATTATAGTTTATCAGAACTGTTATTAGTTGATCTGAGCAGCCACATTGGGAAGCGAAACCAGCTGCAGATAAATGCACACATTCTCAGGCAGTTTCCTCAAAGATGACAGTCACAGTGTTGCACTGAGTCGCCACAAATGGCTTTATACCAAACGGGGAAAAAAAAAAGAGTGATAGAAAGCGAGAATTTAAAACTGAGCATATTTTCTGGACCTCTGCTCAAAGAGAGAACGTTTCGACTTTAATGTTTTCAGCGGTTTGGCAGACAAAGCAAAACAATGTATGATTCATGCGAGGACATTTTCAACCAGCATGTTCAGCCTGAACATGGAATAAGATTTAAAGGTGTCATTAACTGCACAAACCACAGAAAAATCTATAAAAGAGTACAACTTCCTGGAGACTTTATCACACACTTGACAAACTGATTCGCTGAAATGACCCCTCGTGTCGTCAGTAGATTTTTCAAGCAGGAAATGCTTTTGGAAAATGTGTCCACTGTGTCAAACAGCTTACCGCACCAAAGTGTCGTCAGAGCTGCTTTATTCAATTGGACTTACCACTAAATAAAATGCTTTCGATTTTCTCAGGGTATCGTGTTGTGTGGTTATGTTAAACGGAGCAGTCTGAGGTGAATAAATAAAGCAGCTGAATACATCGAGAGTGTATTTTTAACAAGTGAACATCGACTCCGTTGCAGCCTGACAAGTTCAGAGCTAAGCTGGATTTATTCCGGGTCAAACGCTAATGTCTACCATTGTTTCTGGAATAAATGTTCTGTTCAGAGTGATTTGAATGTGGAAACCAGCACAAAACAAGTCACGTGGACCTTTTTACCTGTGGGTGAGCGGTAGGACACCGTGATGTCCCCGGTCAGGTCAGCAGGAGGGTATCGGCCATTGAGGAACGCTGAAAACGCTACAACTGTGGACGAGCCGAGACCTGAAGACAGAGAAAAAATATATATTAGCACTAAACAAGAGCTCATTGCTGTCTGTCCAGTTGATGTTCAACTAGCTGTCAATGTCATCTCTCATTAAGGCTTAAAGTTGTTTTGAAAAAGAAAACGAGTTCCCAAAATCCTACCACTACAGCATTTGTGTAGCTAAATAACAATGAATATGTTAGCATCCAAAAAATATCCATGATTTCTGGCTTGATATGTGTGTATTGTAATTAATGCAAATGCTTCTCCGTTACTCATTAAATCTACTCAGGCTGTTTTCCATTGCAAACTTAATGTCTCAAAACATCAACACTGTTTATCCCTCCCAGGAGCCAGTCTGTCAAATCAGCCTATCATCACATGATACTACAAATTGTGGACATTTCTTTTGGCATTTAATTCCTTCATTTGATTTTTGACAGTAGAGAAATGATTAAAAAACTGAAAAAAGAGTCAATGGACTGAGCAAGAAGAAGTCTGTTTTTTTAAGAGAGCATTATCTGTCACAGAGTGATTCCCTTTCAGTGAGAACATTTTTATAAAATCCTCTCTAGTTCAGAGAAGTTTGAACAATAATCCTGATAGTATCATCTGGTTTAGTTGGATAAGCCTGCATTACAAACTGGAGGTGAGCGGTGTGCAAAAATACAGTACAAGACTATTGAAAGTCACCATCAAGCTTCAATAAAGCGCCCATACAATACTTTTTGGGGGTTTTGCTATTCCTTTACGGGCTCATATAGCATTTTGTGCATGTAAACAGTCTGTAAATTTGCAAACACCGCTCCCTGAAAAGTCTCCTATGAAGGCTAGGTTTTTATTCTGTTACTTATCTACATCGCCATGTATCATATCTGCATAACGCCGGCCTAGTGGCTAGTTTGCCAGGTCCTCAAACAAAGAAAAGAGGAAAAGGTGCTGCAGCAATATACAGAAAAATGTGTTTTTTGAATATTAAAGCATGTAAAATTAAAATTATATTTTAAACCTGTACATGTGCATAATAGGAGCCTTTTAAAAGACGTGTTGGATTTACGGTTTCAGAACATTTTCCCCACACTAGCGACTAAAAGTCAGATAATTTTGAGCTTTCTTCTTCTTCAGCTTTTTTAAACTCCTTTAAAATTCTGCCTCTTATATGTGATTTGGTATAAAGCCTACGAAAGCTATTCTAAATCATTGGATTTCCACTTCAAGCATATTTGCGCTATTGCAAATGCTCCTGAATTCTGAGTGAGATTTTCTCAAAGTTCTCTCGTGAATGATGAATGCGGAAACAGGGCCGTCAACAAACGGCACACACGCCAACTTGAAGAGTCAGCGTTTTCAAGGTGTGGACAGAACAGGATACAGTAAGGCCGACACAAGCCAGACCCTTCAATGTACACACACGCACACAAGCGCTCGCACACAGCTCATGCTAAGCATCACCATGCGAGGTGAAGACAGAGGATTAGCAACACGCTCGCATACAAACACACACAGGAGACTTAAATTATGTGTAGCATGAGAGCGCGGCGATGACTTGTCGCTTCCCTTTAAATATCCCAAAAGCAACAGAGAGAGAGAGAAAAGGAGGGAGACAGAGAGCAAACACGCCGGAGAGAAAAGGCAGGGATCAAATACAGACGGAGAGGAAAGGATATATTACAGCTAATGGTTCCATGCAGTCACACACACACATGCACACAAGGCGGAGTGGTGGTGTAATGGGGCGTGATGTTCCTGAGCTCGGTCCGTCACAGGTGACTGACTCCCAAGTATGTGTGTGCGTACGCGTCCTAATGGAAGCGAGTGCAAGTGTAGGTGTAATGAATGAAAGTGAGGGGAGACACTGTGGGAAAAGTTCCTCGCTCTGTATGTCGTCGTGCATTTCTAGCTAGAAGCGTAAAAAAAAAAAGAACACCTCACTGATGTTCACCACACGCACGCTTGTCTAGCCCAGGGTGAGACGAGGCCTCTCGAGCTGAGGATAGGCAGAGCAGGAGGAAGCAAGATGGATGAGAGGAGATGAAAGGAGAGACAACGACACCACCCCTCCCTTCCCCTCCGACGGACAGAGGAGAAGATAAATGATGAAAAGCAGAGAGAGACTTTCTCCACACTCCGTCAGATACCCTGACAACACCACCTCCTCTCTGCCTTCTTCTCTTTCCTCACTCTTTCTCCTCCTTCATCCACGGTACTCTCCTCTCTCAACCACCTTCCATCCATCCCTTTCTCTTGCTCCTTTTCATTTTCGCTCTCCTCCCTTTTTTTTATGTTCCTTCTTTCGCAGCCTCTTCTTAAACATCTCTCCCTGTATGAACGCTGGAGCCTGACCAATGGTAGACTTTTGAAACTCAGTAATGATATTAAACTGAGCTTGAGAAAACCATAAACAATCTGTCAATGTGATAAGGATCCCCTGGAGGAATAGTTGGATTTTTTCTGCCAGGAGTGAAAGATGAAATGATGATACCACTCCCCTGTCTGTGCTAAGTCAGTGCTAAGAGTCAATTAGCTCAGGATAACTTAGCTTTAAGATTGTAAACAGAAGAAAACAGCTAACCTGGCTTTGTCCAAAAGATTTAAAAGACAACATGCCTGCCTTGTATCTCGTCTATTAAATCCCAACAAAATGTAAATGTGAAAATGACAATTTTGCGGTTTCACAGAAAATTAGGGCCTGGTCGTGATACTCCATTCTCCACTGCGCTGGACAACGCTCTGGCTGCTCCCACCATCTGCAAACAAATGTCTGGCTGGTTTGCATTTCCCTAAACAAATCACAACTGTCTTGAGCATCACTAAGCCCAGGATGCAGCAACAGTGTCCCTGCAAAATGGTGTTGAGGGAGAACATTTGTACACAGGGAGTCATTAAAATGGTTAATCCATCTTTAAAAAAACAAAACATAAAGGTTGCTACTTAAAAGGTTGTTGTTGTTGCTTCTTGTCGCGAAGGGAACTTTGAAAACCGCACATAGCAGAAGGAGAGGAGTGTGACATGTGGTGGAAACGGCAGGCTTATAACTGCAGTCCACATCCGATGAGTCACACTAATTCTTTCTATAGACACAGTGAAGAATTAGTTCCAGCACATGACTCCAAAAAACGTCAAACTAATCCTGTCCATTGGGTTATTAGTGAGTTATTACCTGAGAACTTTTGGAAAATTTTTGAAAGTCGAATAATTAACCTGTCAGGCACATGTTAAACCTGGATGTGGGCTGGCGTTCTGATTATGTCAAAGATCCATTATCTTTCATTTGCTGGCAAAATCTCCACTTTAAATGTTTTGGAAGGAGTGCATCTCGTTCTTATTTGCCAGTTACAACAAATAGTGTACTTCATATATGTGAAATAAAATAGAAAGTGAAGGAAAAAGTGTCATTAAATATTAATGGAAGTATATCTTCTGTAAAGATCGTCACTTATATACATCCACATGCGAATTTTTGGCTTTAGACATAGGTTAGTCGGACAGAAAAAACAGATGGATGCAATATAATACAACAAACATACAAGCTGGACATTAGTACACCTGCTAAATTGGTAGCAATAGAACCAGAACAACACCAAAAATGCAGTCCAATGACTAAAGGATTAATCAGGTATTCAGAAATAAATCCAAAGACAAAGATTTAACAGTAATAACAAAAAGAGTTGCAGCCTTAATTGAAACCAATAAATTGAGATACTCCTAAAATATCCAATAATAGTGCTTGAAGAACCACTTTTCCTCTATTTTTTAGTCCACTTTCTCGCGTTTTCCTCCACCTTATTTCTCGCTTTCTTTTCGCTTTCCTTGCTCCCCCCTCCTGCCTGTCATCCCGTCTGTCAGCAGAAGGCTTTTAACCCGTGTGCCCCCGAAGGTCACACTGGTCAGACTGGTTTAAGTGCTTTAAGGGTTCCCAGGCCCATTAAGACCAACAAACAAGACCAAAGAAGACACAAAGTAATCCCTCTTCGGCTCTCTTATTCTTTCGCTCTCTCCGTCTTCTTTTCTTTCTCTCTCCGGCTTGTCATCGTACATTTCGGGCACATCTGGACAGGTCAGGGCGGCGCTGTGGGCGTCGGACCTGTGAGTACCAGGTAACATGCTTCTGTGACCTCGACATCCAACCCAGTGAGACTGTTCAGACTGGTCCCAGTGTTCTCAAGCACATTAAAACCATTAGCACCACTGCCAACGAAAACAAACTCCACAAAGGAGGCAGAAATCCCCCCACTTTACTACCTCTCCTTCTTTACCTTTATTTCCCCTTTTCTTTCCAGACTTTTCTCCATCTTTCTTTTTTTTTTCTTATCCTCACCAGCTGTTTTCTTTTGCCACTTTTTCACCTTCTTTATCCTCCCTCCCTTTCCTCCCTTGTTTAACCTAAATCTCCGCTTTGCTTTTATCTTCCTCTCTATCTCCTTACCCTACTTGCTAGTGTGCTTTGTGTGAACCAAGGGGATTAAAAAGTATATCCACGAGGCTGTAGATGAGCTCTGGACGGCGCTGGACTATCCTTGTTGAGAACTTAAGACTACGCACAATGTAAACACGGCTAAACACAGTGACATGAGGTTAAATCTGAGATTGCAGGAAGAAAATGTGACAGCACCATAGATCATCCCTGCAACAAACTGCTAGGTTTTCTGCTCGACGTGCCATCAGACCTTCTTTCTCTGCCTTGTGTGAGAATCTTGGAAGGGCCCACCAAGCAGCACACATCTGAATAAGCAGCGTAAGTGCCTCCTAGCTGCCCAAATAAACCATTTTTATTTGAATCATTTTAAACACTTGTCTCTGAGTCCAACCAAAAAAAAAAAAAACAAAAACACAAGGTCGCAGACAACTGCACGCAGATCTACAACCATCCTAATCACCATGCGTGTTCATCTGTGCACGTCGGTTTATTTACATTTTTTAAGGCTATATTTCACAGCGGTTATTGTCTTCTACTTGGGAACAGACCGACCGGGGCGAATGTTCATCTCCCCGTATGCTGAGAAAAAGTGATTACAAC